GCGCTTTATAGTTATTGTTCTTGGTGTGGACGCCCCTTTACTTTGAAACAATTTATAATCAGAAATTGCTAATGAATCTTACAAATATTTACAAAGAAATGTCAAGTAACACAATGGATTAAACATAACATTTTGAAGTAGATAAACTGATGTAGTATTTTTCTTGTAAAACAAACTTAATTAATCTTTGTTTTATTTACAACTTCGAAAAAATTACAGTGTACAAACCTATGTTGGAAATCCATTTTCCACCTACAAGGAATCAATTACATAAGCTTTTTTCATACATTTAGCATACCATTTCTAGTAATGAAATCACTTAAAACATTCACATTTGCATTTAAAGGTTTTCATCTATGGAGCAACTCCATCACAGCAATCTGACGTCTGACAAAGCATCCTCCCAGCATGCCGTTTTGGGAGCTGTTCCCATTACAGTCACCAGACGGACCAGGAATCTGAGGGGTAGGGAGGATGAGATCTTCCAGCTCTGATGTAGGCATTTATTAGGACTCTTCTGACTGTTTTCTGTGTTGTTTTAGAGGTCTCCCTCATTGGGTTTCATGCCTTTAAAACGTGGAGATTGCTGGAGCGATTTGGAATAGTGTTTTTCATGAAACTACTACCAGCTTTAGACATGCACACATATTAGCACTGTAAAAGCACTGTAGCTTGATGCCTAAAAGTAATAATGTGAATTATAATTCTGCTGTATTTTTTATGAGCGTAACCAAAGTAATGACAGACAGTTTTGTGTGTGACGGAGATGACTGCATTTGAGCGGAACTATTTAGGAATCTAGCTTGAAAAAATAATGCACTTGCTAATTGATACTGATTTGAATACTACCTCACAATTGCTTTGGGAATGTGCCACTGGACATCTTTCAGATAGTGACCTGTCAAACCTGTGAACACAATGCATAGTTTTGCACTGCAGTCACATGCTCGGTTTGCTGTTTTTCTGTTCAACTTACATTTTGCTAAAGTGTAATGCCCTTTGTGGTTACCAAAATATGATAAAAACTTTGTTCGTTTCCTGGACTGGTTTGTGTTTTGCATTTGTAAACTTCAAACATGCAGTCCTCCAC